ACCCGAGGTATGCGTCTATGCTGACATACCGCTCGCTGTCCAGACCATGCACCCCAATCATAGGTTTCTTTAGGCACCTCCGGTGGAACATGGAATCAAGAGCAATTGAGCTATCTTGTCCATTGTCCATTCAGATGAATTGCAGTTCAGCCAAAAACAAATGCACAAGCCTACCAATAATTAACTGGCTTAAAGCTATATTGTCAATATACTAAATTGTTAATTTTTTATTGGCTTCCTTTTTCCTTATTGGTCCCGTTTTCATTAAAATGTTATTTAACATAGGAATAAGATATAAACTTTTTTTATTTTTTCTTTATGAGATTTTCTACTTCATTTGGAACAGCTGTCCAGTGAATACACATTTAGCCTTTGCTATATTTGTATGTATGGATTTATTGTGAGCGGCAATTGTTCAAAGAGAATTATTAAGAATACAGTACTCTTATAAATTTTAACATCCATATCTATTCCTTAATTCATTCTGTCATATGTCTATCTTAAAGGGACACTCCAGTGCCAGGAAAAAAAATCATTTTCCTGGCACTGCAGGTTCCCTCCCACCCCCCATCCTATGTTGCCGAAGGGGTGAAAACCCCTTCAGTGACTTACCTGAGACCACCGCCGATGTCCCTCTGCGGTGGGTGATTTAGGGTCCACCCACGCTCCTCCCCCACCGACGTCAGACGGCGGGGGAGACCGATTGCACATTTGCGGCCGGCAGCGGGATGAGACCTAATGAGCATGCACGGCAATGCCGAGCAAGCGCATTAGACCTCCCCATAGGAAAGCATTGAAAATGCTTTCAATGCTTTCCTATGGGGATTTTAGCGACTCTGGAGGTCCTCACATAGCCTGAGGAAGTCTAGCGACGCTATAGCACAGAAAACCTGTGCTATAGAACAGGAAGTGCCCTCTAGTTGCTGTCTAGTAGAGGAGGAGTTAATCCTGCAATGTAATTATTGCAGTTTATGAAAACTGCAATATTTACAGTTTCAGGGTTAAGGGTAGTAGGAGTTGGCACCCAGACCACTCCAATGGGCAGAAGTGGTCTGGGTGCCTGGAGTGTCCCATTAAATATTTTCAAGGTTAAAGAAATCAAAGTTAATTTAAAATGTAAAGACCAAAGTTGCTGAATTTCATAAGTCATTTGAAATTCAGGGTGAATTCTCACTTTAGTGCAAAAGGGTCACAACACCAAGACTACTTCAATTAGCTGAAGTGGCCTGGGTGCCTACAGTGTCCCTTTAATTCATGGTACACTCTGCCTCCAGTCTGGTGCTTTAGGGGAGATAAAAGTACATTTAAACAACAATGGTAGGGACTCCTGAATAAAATATTCACAGACAAACAATGGGATAAGGTATTCATCTTACATCATAAGAGTTTGATTAGTGTTAAAGGGACACTGTAGGCACCCAGGCCACTTCAGGTCATTGAAGTGATCTGGGTGCTGTCTCCCTATTGCACTTAGTGCTGCAATGTAAAACATTGCCCAGGCAGCCCTCAGTGTCTACCTCATGGACCTCAAGCATCAGATTTTCCCCATAGGAAAGCATGGAATAATGCTTTCCTATGGGGAGGTCTAATGCACGCGCGGCCATTGCTGTGCATGCACATTAGGTCTCCCCCGTCGGCTGACATTGGTGGGGGAGGAGTGTGGGTGGAGCCTGACCCAGCGCTGAGGGACATCAGTGCTGGATTCTGGTAAGTGGCTGAAGGGGTTTTAACCCCTTCAGCCATGCGGGAGGGGGGTCACAAGGGAGAGGGCACTGTAGGGTGCCAGGAAAACGGGTTGATTTTCCTGGCACTATAACATCCCTTAAAATATCAGGAAGTCAGTTATAAATTGTCCATGTGGTTTTGGATTTGCCCCCCCCCTCAAATATCTTTCTCTTTATCTACATATAAAGAAACCATATAAAGAAACCAGGGAATTCTTAGAGTATCAAGGAGTTATCCACACAACACGGGTTTTCATCCTTCAAAATAACAAAAAAAAAATTTAAATAACGGTGGATCTGTTTGTAAATACAACATACCTTTTATTTAATCTTTTTTTTTTAAAGCTTAATTGATTTCAAAAATGTAATAAAAAAGCGTGTATTGCTAATTAAATCCCCTTCTATAGTCAAACTGCATTAAACAAAATATATCTAGTATTCCTATTACACAATATCAAATAAATATTTTAGAGTTGCCAGATATAACATATTGTTAATCTGAATCTCTTTATGTAGTACCCTGAAATAGTCAAAAGGTGGCACTATAACCTGGGAACTGAGATAAAGTACTGTCAATTATTACCATTAAATGGTTATTAGGAGTCTTAGTTCAAAAGGATTTCCTTTGTGATACATTCATATTTTGAAATATAATGGAAACTAAAGGAACAAGTATAGAAAAACAAAGATAGGGAAAAGAAGAGGGGGCCTTCCTATGTACCTATAGTAATAACAAAGTCTCAATTAGTGAAATTCATATTGTATCCAAATTCCAAATCAACCAAAAGGCTTTAATGACTGTTCCCTGTTATAGCCCCAAATGAAAGTCAAAGAAAGTCTTAATGTCCCTGCTTATTTTCCAGCCTTACTGTACACAAAAAACTTGTGGTGAAAATTATAGGAAGAAAGTGAAAAAGGAAAGTAAAAAAAAAAAAAAATGTCTGTGTACTCTATTTGCCTTTTCATAGCAACACTGGGCTCCAAACACCTAGAACTTTGTTCTAATTTCTTATCTGCTCAACCTTCCTATTCCGAATATTTTTTTCTGTTGAATATAATTAGATGACGACAAAACTGAGTCAGCGATTGATGGGGAAATGAGGGGATGTGGTGCTCTCAGACCGTGACATAGGAGTATGATGGAAACCTAAATAAGGCTCTGTTAATGGTAAAGTGGTTAAAAGCAGCTAACATTGTCTTTATGTATTTTCTTCTGTAACCTTTGAAAAATCTGAAATAAAGATTGTCAAAAAATGAATTAAAAAGCCACTTGGAGATTTATTGCTTAATGCTAAATGTATCTGACGTTAAAGCAATGAGTTACGGCACTCTCCCATTGAAATGTGCTGCAAGTCAATTTCCATAGTTACAAATATATAATTTTGATGATACATAGAACCAGAATTTTTTTTCCTGAGTGCATAACGTTTTCTGGTTAGTTACATGTTATAAATGTATAAGAGGCAAATGTTAAACTCTAGCACAAGTATGGAACCTCAACACTAGCTGGACACCAAGTATTTAACATTGGTCAGTATGTCAGCAGTATTCCTTGTGTCCCTTGTTAAATTGGTTATAAAATCAAGTTACTAATTATTAGAGTTGAGCGAACATTAGGTTTTTTGGACCCCGGACCCGAACATGGACATATCACTGTATGTTCGGATTGGAGTTCGGTGTTCGGCGATTTAATGGCGCGTTTTCAAAGGCTGCAGGGAAGCCAATCAACAAGCGTTTGACTCGTGTGCCCTTAGAAGCCATCACAGCCATGCCTACTAATGGCATGGCTGTGATTGGCCAGTGCAGCATGTGACCCAGCCTCTATATATAAGCTGGAGTTGCGTAGCGCAGCACGCACATGCAGTCTTATTAGTGTATGGAGAGGATGCTGCCGCTGATAGGGACAGCTTAGGAAAGAATTCTGAAAACTAGTACATTGGTGGGGTGGGGTGCACTTCATATCTGAGAGTCACATAAAAGCTTCAAATACGGTGGTTACATTGGAGTTTTAAAAGTAATTTTTTTTTTTGGTGCAAAATAGTACATTAGTGGGGTAGTACATTAGTGGGGTGCACTTCATATCTGAGAGTCAAATAGAAGCGTCTAATAGTGCGCAGTGGTAAACATTCTAATTTTTTTGCTGCTAAACTGCTAAATAGTACATTATGGGGCCTGTTCTTCATATCTGAGAGTCAAATTGAAGCATCTAATACTGCGCTTACTGCGCACTTGTAAACATTCTAATTGTTTTGCTGCTAATCTGCTAAATAGTACATTTTGGGGCCTGTTCTTCATATCTGAGAGTCAAACAGAAGCGTCAAATAGTGCTGCTAATCTGCTGCTTACATTGGAGTTTTAAAAAGTAAAAAAAAAAATTGGGGCGCTAAATAGTATACTTGAGGTGTTCACTTCATATCTGAGAGTCAAATCGAAGCATAACTTTGATTCAAATTTACTACATCGGTCACTTGTAATATTGTTTCACACCTACAACACTTGTTACACAGATCTAAGTGATAGAAAACAGATTGATATTTTCTACACTAGAAACTACCAGATAACAAGCTGCTATATTTAAACCAGTGATCAATAGCTAAGAGGTACCTCAACAATATTGTAATTCTGGGACAATACCCTCACAAGTCAAACTGAGAGGTCAGTTTATAGGGAAAACTGTTGCCTGGATACAATTCTAAAACAATTTCCATATGTCCTTTGCAGACTTTACATGCTGGAAAAACACAGGTGCCAACTGCTGTGGCTTTCTGCAGTGTGCAACCGGCAAGCAGGGCAGGGTTGAGGAGTGGGTGGAAGATGATGTGGAGGATGATGAGGTCCTAGACCCCACATGGAATCAAGGTCATCTGAGTGACGTGTGCAGATTGGAGGAAGAGGCGCTGGTCGCATAGAGGCACCAGCACAGCATAAGAGGGAGCAGGGTGCAAAAGCGGAGCGGCCGTCCCCTAGTGCTCGTCGGCATGTATTAGCTTGAGAATTACCAGTTATCCAAGTAAAACATGTAGCGATCAAAGGATCCATAATAGACTTGAGCGAAACCGAACTGCAAAGTTCGGGTTCGTACCAGATTTAACGATCCATTCGTAGTTTCACAGTGAGGTTGGCAGTCCGGTGACCAGGACCCAGACACTGTGAGAATGTGACATTGACTGTAGCAGCTGTGCACGCTTTTGCTGCTGTTCGCCTGTCTGCGCTGCAGCGTAACTTCGGCTTTTCCGCTCACCGCCTCATGAGACTTTGCGAGCAGCAGCAGGTGATAGTGGAGTTTCAGCTGCAGCACGCATGCGTCAGTGGCTCTGCACCAGACTTCCCTCCAATTGATCAGAGTTAAAGGATTTCAAGTGGACTCATTACAATTACAGGGCCTCTAAAGAGTCCTATATTGTTATTTGTCGTCAATACCTACCTGCGTCGGGAATGGGTCATTTGCGCATCTGCTGCCTTCCTTGCATGTGGTAGCCATTTCTGAGGATCCCTGTACGGAAGGGAACCCTGATTCCCCGTTACCCATGGTCACCATGGTAGGCGCAGAAACTGACATAGAAAGTTGATATGAATGACATCCGCATGCAAAGTCACCGCCACGTGGATGTGCGATTTGCCCAAGGTACTCTAGAGTCAACAAAGTTCCTGCGCAACTATAATGTCAACAGCTACTCTGCGGACCAGAGTTGTCTTTTTTTATATGTCCCAATATTTTGGGGGCTACCCCAATAAAAAAAAACACATATATAAAAACAGTGTTGGCTACCTCATCCTCCTTCTCCACCGCCACGGTCACCGCCTCTTAAACCTATGGGTCACTTAGTATAAACTAGGTACACATTGCAGAGGCTTGTGAAGGCCTATTCTCCATGCATCAGGACTGCAAGAAATGCACCACAGCTGCAAATATTACTTTATATGTATGTCCCAATATTTTGTGGGCTACCACAATTCAAAAAAAAAAAAAACAACATAAAATACAGTGTTGGCTACCTCATCCTCCTCCACCACTGCTTTCTCCTCCACCGTCTATTAAAGCAGGCATGTCAAACATGCGGCCTGCAGTGAATATATTTGCGGCCCGCCTGTCCTGGGGCCCCTTTCAGCTGTGGCTGCGACCAGCAAGACAGAAAAAATATTTCCTGATACTTGCTCTCACGGCCACAAAAGGGCAGAGTGGCTGTGTGTCTGCTAAGCAGACCAGAGCAGCCACTCTCCCTTCCCTCCTGCTCGCAGTGCCAGAGGAGCGCCTGGCCTGCTTCAGCAGGGCTGGAGCTGGAACTGAAGGATGGACAGCAAATTGTAAGGTAGGAGAAGAGGGGCTTTGGGGAGGGGGGAAGTGTATTAATTTGAGGGAGGGGGCACTGTATTAATTTGAAGGAGGGAGGAGGTACTGTATTAATTTGAGGGAGGGAGGGGGCACTGTATTAATTTGGGGGAGGGAGGGAGCCAGTGTAATAATTTAAGGGAGGGAGGGCAGTGTATTAATTTGAAGGAGGGGGCACTGCATTAATTTGAGAGTGGGAGGGGGCACTATTAATTTGGGGGATGTAGGGGGCCAGTGTGTTAAATTGAGTGTAGGGCAGTGCAGAGTGGTGGTGGTGCGGGGGGTCAGCATTGTTAAATTGGGGAGAGGGCAGTGTATTAATTTTAGAGAGGGAAGGGGCAGTGTATTAACCTGGGGAAGGGAGGGGGCCAGTGCATTAAATTGGGGAGTGGTGGCAGTGTATTAAAGTAGAGTGGTGAGAGTGGGGGCAGTCTATTCAATTAGTGGAGGGAGGAGGGGCTGTGTATTAGATTAAGGGGAAATGTATTAGATAGGGTGAAGGGGGCAGTGTATGGTGGAGTGGATGAGTAAAGGGAGGAGGGGCAGTGTGTTGGATTTGGGGGAACTGTATTAGAGTGGGAGGTGGGGCAGTGTGTTAGATTGGGTCTGCAAGGAGGCGCTGAAAGCTCCCCATGGAGTTGCTGTTTGGCAGTGCAGCTTTTTGCCACACATGCACAATAGCCACCCAGAAAACGCATTGGATTGGCTGAGAACATCGAGTTTGATGATCTCAGCCAAAGTGAAGAACACACTCATAGAACTTCAAAATAAACAAGATAACGTAATTTGTTTTTTTACAGCTGTGCAACGGCATACATTCACCATTTCAGTCCCATTACCAAACTTTTCTTAATATGTCAAGGTAGTTGGACAGAAACATTGTTTACATGCAAATGCATTTCTTAAAAAAACTTGCTCTTTTGTTTACTTTGACCCCTACGAGCGTGATGACGTCCAGTGTCAGTTAGGCAACATTTTTATACTGTTCTTTTCTAAAACAAAACCAAAGTTTCTATGAAAACTGACTTTTTTGGTTTTTTGCATCCCACATAAATGTAAACCTTGTTTATTTGGCCCATCTTAGCCTTTGAGCTTGACATGCTTGTATTAAATGATAGCGTATATTTTATAAAAAGACCTTAAATCGAGTGTGCAATTGAGAAAAATATTTACATAGTACAAATTGGATTGTGTCACACAAAATAAAATGGAGTATGAGAGTATATTAAAACGGAGAGGACACTCCTAATACCTTGGGATATAAGATCCCTGCATACCAATTAAACCAGAGGTAAACCCTGCTAGATCATGTTGCTAATAGAGATTAGCAATACGATCAATCAGGGTCTAGATCTCCAAGGCTATGTAGTTTCCTCTTCTCTATTTTGGACCAAACCGCTCAGATACCTGTGGGGCCATTGCTAAGTGGGGTAATATATATTATATCTTAGTGGTATTCTGGCTGACTTTATCAATATCTTTATTACTATTTCTATTCATAAAGAGTAAGATCTACCATGACCTATCATGCCTAGATACTGTATTGTTTATGTCCACTGTCTATCCAGCCCAATCTAATACTGCTACTGTCTCTTGCTACAATCATATACACAATGTTATTCTGATGTAGCATATCAAGCAGGTATCTTGTTTCAATTTCACTTAACAAACTCCTAGCCTCAACTGGGCTTTTCTACTTTGATTCTTTAACCAATCCCTTGTACTTTTCTTTCGAAGCAATTGGTTAAGCATAATCCTATCTTTTTGACATTTAGTTGACATACCACTTCACATATATCCTAGCACTAAATAAAGAACATTTCCATATAATAATTGCATTCACTTTGTGAAATTCCAGTTTTAATATAATCTCATACTACATTTTATTTTGTGTGACACAATCCAATTTGTAGTTTGTAAATATTTTTCTCGATTGTATACTTTGATTTATGGTCCATTTATAACATTTACGCTATTCTTTAAGGGATATTCCAACATTTCAGGTTCCTCTCTTTTCTAGTTTGGGACCATTCTTTTGGTTAACTTTCAAATTGTTGCTACTTTATTGTTTCTTGCTGCTTAGATTAATTGACAGGCAGGCAAAAAGACAAGAAGACAGACCAACCGATAGATAGGTAGACAGACAGAAAGACAAATGCACAGACAGACAAACATAAAATGTATGTGGGGTATTTTTCATAGCTGAATAAAGTGCGATACTAAAGTGCGATAAAGTGGTTAGAGTTTACTAACCATGTGTAATAAGTGAAAAAAATGAAATGTCTCATGTTGAGGTGATATAAATTTTATGGTAGTTGTAATAAGGAAAAAATATTATACTAGAAGAATTTGTTTAGATTTATTTCCTAGTTGACTATGCTGACATCTCAATAATAATTGCCTCAGACTCTTATATTAATAATTTAATATACCTACGTTTCCAAACTATATGTTTTGAAATATTACGAGTCAAAAAAAAATAATCTAAAGTTGAATACAAAGAATTATGCATAGTTTTGCTGGAGGCCCAAATAAGCAACCAGATTAGTGAAAAAAGCTTTTATATTTGGCATATTTATACAACACAATATAATACTGCTTTAAAAAAATATTTTAATAGCAAATTTTAATAGTAGATCATTGCTGCTCCATTTTAAAGTGAAATAAGATGTAATCATTATTTTATATTTTTTCATATTCAAGCACCAATTGTATGTATTTCAAGGTAATGCATACCACATTTCTAAAAAACTTTATATCTAATATCACAATTGGATTAGTTTGTCACCTATATTGTGAGGCACAATATTATCAAACCTTTGAAAATGAATTACTAAGTTCTAAATTTGAAACAAGATTGTAAAATGTGGATAAAATTATATTATTAAGAAATCAAATTGTGTTGTTTCCTAAAAGGAACTTTTATACAAATACAGTTTTCGCAAATGTTTCATGTTTCTCTGCCTTTACTTTAATGCATTTTGCAAAATAAAATTTACTCCATAAAGTCTCACTTAATATATCATTTAATTTTATTTATTGTATGTGTCGTTATGCTCAGACAATCTTTTTACATTATAGCTATTTTAGTTAACTGCACTGCTAGTAATGCATTCAGAGTCTTTACAAATGCTATTTTACCTTTTTTTATTTTTGTCACACCTACTTTATGTGCGAAAAATTGCATTTTTGTTTTTACAATATTTCAGGCCCTGCAGTAAATTTTGACGACCACTGCCTTGCTAAAGAAGCTGAAGGTAAAGGTGATGGACTGGCCAAGCCTGTATCCAGACCAAAACCCTGTTGAGCATCTGTGGGGTTTCCTCAAATAGAAAGTGGGGGAGCGCAAGGTCTCTAACATCCACCAGGTCTGTGATGTCATCATGGAGGAGTGAAAGAGGACTCCAGTGGCAACCTGGGAAGTTCTGGTGAACTCGATGCTCAGTTAAGGCAGTGCTGGAAAATAATGGTGGCCACACATATTGACACTTTGGGTCCAATTTGGACATTTCCACTTACATAGTTACATAGTTACATAGCTGAAAAGAGACTTGAGTCCATCAAGTTCAGCCTTCCTCACATCTGTTTTTGTTGTTCAACCAAAAGAAGGCAAAAATTTTTGCAATAAACTAGGAAAGATTCCTTCTCGACTATAAAATAGCAGTCAGATGTCTCCTTGGATCAAGCAGCTATTAGCCCACTAATTAGAAATGATATCCCTGTATGTTATATTTTTTGCAAGTATTTATCCAATTGCAGTTTAAACATCTGTATGGACTCGGATAAAGCCACCTCTTCAAGCAGAGAATTCCATATCCTTATTGCTCTTACTGTAAAAAAACATTTTCTTTGCCTTCGGGGTGTACTCATTTTTGTGTGTTGAGTTATTTTGAGCGGACAACAAATTTACACTGTTGTACAGGCTGTAAATGATGTGGTGCCACAGTTGCGTGGTCCTACCCCACGTCATGGACTGGGCGGACTGCTCACTAAACAAGGAAGTATTCCCCATTGCGGCTTTTTGTTTACACAGTTACAACTGGAGCTGAATGTATCAGCGGTTGTTATGGATCTGTGACGTAGCCGGATATGATGCTTGGTCACTGCCATCCTATGATGTGGGAGTGGTCCTACGTTGACTTGAGCAAATGCACTGTGTGCACGCCGGACATTGATAATAATGGAGTACAGCTGATTTGGTGAGTGCCAATTGGTAGATGTGTCCTATATATGTTTGTTACTTCAATGTAAATTGTTTTATGTGTCCTGATGAAAGCTCTGATTGGGAGCTGAAATGTTGACTATTTTGGATGTACCAACAATAAATTGAATGAACAAACCGAAGAGTGCCGGTAATCTTTTATATATATAAAAAAGTCCAGCACCTAACAAAGATTATCAGTAATCTGCAATTTGTCTAGGTGCTAACCCACGCAAATATAAAAAAAAAAATATAGAAACGGAAATTAATATTCACATAATGTAAAATA